TTCGTGTTATCCAAACGACGGGGAAGAACGCCGACATGGCAGAGTTGCTCCGCACCAATAATCTTGTAAACCTTGAGGGTTTCTTCGAGCCCATCAGCATTCAATCGTATGACCTCGCATCAAAACACAACCACATCGTTGCGGACTGTCACCGCAAACCTCGTGTGCAGGGTAGCTTCGAGTCCCTTCGCCGCTCGAGCAGCCAACAATGTCGACGGCCTTCAATTCCATCCTGAAGCAAATTGAAATTTGATTTTAACATGGTTTTACTGGTTAAATAATATCCAATCATGGCTAGGTAGTTACAAGTCAATGGTAAAGCTCAAGTTTGCTTAATCAGATCTGACTTTTTTTATCTTGAACAAAGTATTGGAAATTTCCATCGTTACAACTTAATGGTCAAAAATTGGGGTTACAGATGTACGGTAAATTCGGTAGTGCAATCGTGCAGTGTTGTTCTCCGGACAGCAGTATCGACGCGAGTTGAAATACCGGATATCAATTTCGGATAATTCGACATTCAGGGTTCAAATTGTGTGCGGTGATTTTGCCCGAACAGGGCCTTAGTCGATTCGTCTTGCGCTAAGCTATCGGTTTATAGAGCTATGTCACTCAAAATTTGTCATTTGAAGATGTGTATGCGTCGATTTTGGACCTCATATATATTAAGTTACAGGCTTTATTGAGATGACGCGCACTGTACCGGTAGACCTCCCCTAACGTTAGGTGCAACCCGAGTCACCAGTTACATTTTGACACAGGTACAGTTTGACACGGTTACATTCGGTGTCGACTAACCACATTCACGTTATCGATTTATAAATTCACAGCCATCACCCGTACCGCCGCCACCTTGATTGACGTTACTAGTCATTGTAATCCCCCCACCCCCGGGGCAATCGAATGAGATCGTTGCGACAGCTCTCGGCCACATAACTACCTTCGCCATCGTCCATGGACATGGCATCGATCGACGTTCGTCGGACGGCATCGTCATCTTCGAGGATCGAGATCATGTTGAGAAAGTCCTCGACGGTGATCACAGTCATTCCGTCCTTCGGCGGTGCCTCCACTTGGCGCCACATGTGGGGAACGATAACCTCGTCACTCTGGGACGACGACATGGTGCTCAATGCATCTGCCGCGCCACCGCCGCTCCTGTCCATCAACGCTACGCCATCGCCGTCCACTTGACACGGCCCCGGCAGCGGCAGCACTGGTCGCTTGACCATCTCCATTGAGCACACAACGCACAGACACACGTCGAGTTCGTTGGTTTGCCAAGTCTGCGAGCATCGCCGACACACGACTTCGCCGCACACGCGGCAGTTTTGCTTGCGGCTGAACGGCCGAAACCGCTTTTGACAAGCAAAGCAGCGCAGCCGATGCGACGTTGGGATCATCGCGTGCTGCGGCAACAACGCGGGCATGGACTGCAGCAGCCGCGCCTTTTGAAAGCTCGAGTTCAAGTCCGTCTGCAGCGCCACGCACCGCTGCTTGATGGCGTTGGTGATGACCCACTTGGGCACTTTTCCCCGGGGGTTCAACTGCCACATGCTCGCGACGCGCACATGGCCTGGCTGGTCGGGCGATTCCAAAAATACGTACCCCGACAAGTGCTGGATGCCCCGTACGACGTTGAAACTGGCGGGGAACTCTGGGCAAATGGGTAGCTCGATGGACTTGAGCGCCTGTACCCACCCCCGCAGCGACGTTCCGCTCACGTGAAACTCGTGGCAGCTCTACATAGCACGTATTTGCTTCCACACAATCCATTGAAACAAAAACAAGTTTTCGTCGTACCTCCACGAACACATGATCTCGGTGCTTGATGAGGGACGGCGCAGGGCTTTGTTGGACATGCCACTTGATGTTGGTCGAGCAGTAGGGCTGGGCGACAGTCCGTGGTTGAACCGAGTACAAGTTGACTGCATCCAACCACCCGCTTGAGAACCGGCGGCAGTACTCACGGTATTGCTGCGTGTTGGAGCACTGGAAGGCGGCGGCGATCTCGTCGATGGACGACGGCACGACAGTGACGCCACAAAACGTGGACGAGGCGGGGGGGCCGTCGGGGTCGTGTCCGCTGTACATTTGGACGTCTTTCGTGTCTGCCAGCATCGACCACTGGATCGCGCCGCCGTGCAACTTGGCGCGTTGAACCTAAACCATCATGTGAGAAAGGAACTATGGGGAAAAGCGGGACGAGTTCGTACCAGTTGCAGGCACATGGCCTCGCCCATGGACACGTACTGACGCACGGCGTCCGGCGACAGCACCGGGCAGGAAAAGTACCCATCGGGAAGGGGAAACGTCGAAGGCGCGGCCATAGATATATTACCGATTGTCTTGCACTTTGTACTCTGACGTGGTTGAGAGACGTTGAACAGACATTGAAGCCAGTAGCCAGCGTACAAAAAACCAAGGCGCCGACTGTACGTACGCCTTGCCAAACTGCAAAGTGAAGTCCCCGACAACGAACAAGTTTCATTGACAAATATCAGGTCTTGACGATCGGCTGGTTGTTTGGAGTTCTGTCCTGTACCGGTGAATAACTCGCAAATCTTCAGGAAATCGTCCCATATTACTGTACTACTCAAAAATACTTACACTCCGACAGGCCCGGTACAGTATTGCTACAATTAATACTAAGAGTACAGTGAACGAGGTATTAATACTATGTATTAATAGTACTAGTAGACGTTAAGCACACAAACTAATTGTGCTTACACAAACTGTTGTGTTCAGCGACCAGGGCCTAACTACTCGAAGTAGGGAACATGATGGGGGCAGTAGCGCTATCGGTAACATTGAAATGACTGCTATTAATAGTAAGGGTATTACTTCCAAGTACTACTCCGGAGTAGTAGTTATAATACCTAAAATAGTTGTACAGTAACGTTACTAGAGAAACACATTTGAACTTCTCCCCCCAGTAGCGCTTCGGTCGCCACGTAAAATACTGGTACAGTTGAAACCCAGGCATGTGTCGAAGGCAAAGGTAATGGACAGTTGGAACGTTTGATCTATCTATCGCTAACGTTACTTCAGAAGTTTGAGCAACAATCTACCCGGTTAGTGGGGTTACGACAAACATCAACTAAATTGGACAAAACTGTTACAACTGCTCGAGGATGCTCAGAATGTCGCGGAGCATGGACTTGTCCTCGTCTACATGGAATGGCTCCCAGTGACCGTCAAAGACGTCGGTGCAAATGCTCAGGTCAATGCCTTCCACTTTGCACATCAACGCCTCGTCGGTTTGCATTACCGACCCAATGTCAGACACATCGTCGATTGAGTCGTGCCGTGCATGGTGATGATGATCGTCCCACAACGCACGCATGTTGATGTCTTGTTTTGCGACCACCTTTGGGGACAACGCCGCGCGGTGGCGTTGGCAGTACCCGCCGGCCCTGGCGTGGGCGAGGCAGTCGTTGGCTTTGCACTTGCGCCCGCCGCCATGCTTGACGCACTTTTGACGGGCTTGTGCGGGTTGTGAACACCCCGGTTCTTCACACTGCTTCTTGTCTGCGCCGTGCTTATAGCACACGTTTCCGAGGCGGGCTCGAAGTGTGCATCCGTCGAACTCGCATTGTTTCTTGGCCCCGTGGCGGCAACAAAGGTTGCGGGCGTACACCTGGTTGCTGCAGTTGTCAACCATGCAACGCCCTCGGTGGCGGTGGTGGCGGCATCGCATCGTGTTGGCGATCGCAGGTTGGGAGCATCCGTCAAAATGGCACGGTTGAGTCATGGGTGGGGAAATCGAAAATGACGACACCGGTGGCCCCACTGGTGAGGTGGGCAAAACCCTGTGATTGGGTGCTGCATTTGATGAAACACCAGCAGAGTCCTCATGTCGCATGCAGTTACTGGAGGGAACCACATGTCACAATGGGTGATTGTTGGATCGCATTGTCGCAGAGTGAAAACGGTTTGACCTTACATGCAAGTACGGAATAACGATGATAGTACTTAGGAATAATGCAATAACGTCGACTGCCCTGAGCACAGAGCGATACAGGATAGGAGTAGTTTGCAAAGAGCTACCAGGTTTGTGTAAGGGACACTATAGCTTTGGGCATCTCTTGAAGTTTCGGAGTCAGAGGCTTCGATCTCCCCCAATTGTAGAATAGTCAATCACCATATGGTGTACTGAGAAAACGTCTGGATGTACCGGTACAGTACTGTACAGTACTATGAGGTTGATGAGCAAGGGTTACTGTACTTTGTACGGTACAGTACTGTACCCGTAAATCTCTGTAGTTTTGGCTCTCAAACTTGTCATTCGTGGTGCTTCGTGGATTTGTACTGTACTACGTAGTACTTATACTACTAACGTTATGTACATATTTTACGCCGGAGCAGTGCAAGGTTTGCCAATATGATATCGCCGGCGCAATACGCAAATGGTAGCCCAGCAAATAGATGGTTGGACGCGAAGCAAGTTAACGTTACGACCGAGTTCTTTGTGGAGACCCCTATGCACGCGTGGTTGCTTTGAGGCCCCTGGTTTACTAGTACCCGGAACCTGAGCGCAGGTGATGGTTCTACCATGTGCTTGAAGTTTAATGGACTTGATGTCTCAGCACATGTGCTAGGCGTTGTAATTCGCTTGTGAAGTTCCAAAAATAATCTGGTCTGCTTTTCACACCACAAGATTGAGTGGACGTGGGATTTTGGGCAGAACCATTCAAGGAAATTACGCCGGAGTAAACTGGACCTGTTGAGACAATTTGACCACACGAAAAACGCTGATGGGATTTGTGATGCCAAAATTGTTTCGTAACGTGCGGGGGCTTAAGAAATAGCAGGGACTTACGGTAACGGTAACCAATTGGTTGACAAAGATCGAAGCACTCTTGCTCTAGCTGTAACTTTATTGTGGTAAACTTTGAAAACTGGTTTCGGGGGACTGGGTATAGTCTGAAACAAAACTAGGCCCGCACTCCAAAAAGTGAAGTTGACAAATAAACGCTCACAATTAGCTCACTTTGTTCGAACGGCGTCTTAAATTAATCGCAATCCACATACTAGTAGTACTTCGTACTAGTAGTTCACATACAAACCCAACGAACTCTCAAAATATTGAAAAATTATTTTTTCCTAACGTTAGGTGCGAAACTATAGACGCACTTCTTCATTTTGGACATTTCTAATCTCAGCGTGCTTGGAATTGATTTAATCATAGCTTAAACGAAAGGAAACGATATTTGAAATGGCATCCATGTAGTTTATGCATCCTTGAGAGCTCTTTTTAGGCCTCGGGGAACCAAACTAACCCACCCGACTGTAGGTCAAACCCAAGCTACGGTAACCAATCGCACGGTAAATCGTTCCATTGCTTATTGAAAACAGTGAATTGTTCCATTGCATATTGAGTACTAGTACTGTACTGCATGCCCTCAGGAGAGGCTATAGTATTAGTTAGGCATTTGTATGTGGACTGCGTTTAATTTAAATCACCGTTCGAACAGTCTTATTCCGGCGAGCAAAATACTTGTCAACATCAAATTTTGGGATTTTGGGGTGCGGCTATAGTTTTGTTCCAGCCTGTAAATTTTATATTTGGACCGTGGCTGAATACTAACTTTCACGGAAATAATGAATTCGTATGCCCGACATATGAGAGAAGGGACGAATCACTTTTAATGACTAACATAATTGTTTTAATAAATAAGTACACACGTTAAACTAATACTTCAATACTTTTTTTCGAATTGACAAATGGAATACAAATCCCACTATTTTAAATTATACGGTAAATGGCTATTTTACTGATAATCTTCAAAAACCCAAAATTTGATTAATAGTACAACAATAAAATTATAACTTGTACATTGAATGCTTCAAATGTCCACGTAACGTTAGCGTTGTTTGAGCGTTCAATTCTCTTCAACGAATCCATTGTTGAAAATTCGTCCAAATATTCTTACTTGTTGAGAAATCGAAAGAAAGCTAAGGTGTCGTCTTCAGGCCATCCATTACTGTATCGTTAGCTCGTACTGTAAGTTACTATAGCCTAGTACAGTACATAACCAGTGTAACGTTTCGTTAGTACTGTACACACTGTTCGCGAAGAATGTTGACGATCTTGGCGTCGATGCATTCGGACCAGGTATCCTCTCTCCTACTGGTAACACTCGACGACCCCAATGAGCATAAGCAATGGCTGGCGTCGTCGATCGAAGTCAACGACACTGATTTGGCACGAGAATGATGGCATGTGCATGGAATGCACCTGTCACCAAGTTGGAGGCATCGGTGATGAGATGCGCGACGAATGCGCAATGTCGAAGAATGGGTCGCGAACGAAAGGTCGTTATAACTATTGTAGTAACGTTACAGTATTGCTACGTAGTATTTCGTTACAGCAGCTGGTATGCAGTGCTATGAATAGCGCTAGTACACCATTTTGACCACAGGCACACGACACATTTCATCGGGCAGATGACCAATTACTTGGGCACACGGCTAATTATATCGGGCACACCGCCAAAAATATCAGGCACAAGACCTCGGTGTGCCAATTTAAACAGTTATGGGCACATGACTAAATATATCGGGCACATTACCAAATATATCGGGCGCACGGTCAAATATATCGGACATATAAACGTATTAACGTTGATGCATAATCCATCCATTTTGACGACTGCAGTTGAAAGGTGATTAATCGGGATCCTTAGTGCGGTATGACAGTAACGTTAGCAACGTGGTTGCCCTTAGGGCATCCCAATGGTGCGACGGTGTAATCAGACTGTATTTTGACATTTACCGTCACTGTATTTTACTTTTGCGCAACCCCAACGGTAAAACAGTGTAAAATCCGCATAATTCCGGATATGGAGGCTAGGCGCTTTTCAAACTGTGCAATGCCATCGAGGCATGGAACGACGACGCCGAGGACATGGACGATGCTTGGGAGATCCTAAGCTCGAGTAACGGACCACGCCAAACACCGGGGTCAGGAGCGTACATTTAACGAGACCATGCTGAACACCCAACAAACTTGATGCATTGTTTCAGTATGTTGCTCCGCCGGGTACAGTAGTTAGCTAAGGATCGTGCTGTGCCATCTCAAAGTAGGTGCGATAGTTCGCCCAAAACTGCTCGGTCTTTTGCCCGCACCCATTTGACTCATTGGGGTATGTTCAACCACAAACGAACAACTGGCAGTCCTCATCAGTGGTGAAGTTGAGAGCCATTCCAGCAAAATGTCAGTACTGGTATGGAAATTTCCTTGCTCATATACATGCGTTTTATTGGTGGAAATATGATGCTTTGTGGTTTATGATTTTATGATTGGCTCCTGCATTTTGCCATCGGGTGGTCACAAAACAGTAAAAATGGCGGATATGCATATTTTACCCCAAAAACCGTAACGTTAAAATAGCATTTCCCGTCGCACCATTGGGGGTGCCCTTAATCGTTGTTGGTTGATGATACCACTGCCATCGCTCGAAGCGTTACAGTATTCCGCGACCAGCCCCCAATGCCTCGTAGCGGAAAGTTTCTGTCCATGTTTCAAGATATTTCGAGCTTTTGATTGGTTATTACCCCAATTATCCGGATAACACAATCATTCGTTACTTTTGGGGGGTTATTCGAAAGAGCGAATTGTTACCTATCCAAAAATCTACTAAGCTTAGTATGTCTAACTGTAAGGTGTGGTGATTCATGTAATTTCCTCCCACCATGCAATTCCGCGGAGTTGGCAGCCAGTCACAATCATCACATGAAAATGTAGACAAAATTAGGTACAGTACTCTCTTTTCATGTACCTGTAGCATTTAATATTGTAGGGGCATTTAGGAAGATGCATCAGATAGGACATTGTAACTTCTTTACTACCTCCGTCCGAAAATGTTTGCTACAAACTCAATTATTGAAGTTCGACAAAGTTTGCTACAAGTGCACAGTACTTGAAAACTGTAAAAAGACAAACATCCACATACAATATAAAGGACATTTATTTACAAAGTACCAAAGAGCTCGTCGAGGTCAATTTCTACGTCGTCGGGTCATCGTCGTCATCGAAATAGTCGTCCGCATCGGGATTGCTTCGAACCACAAGCAGCTCGAGTTGGGAGCAAAATTCGCTCAGTTCAATCGTCAACGCTGTCTCTTGGGCAAGTTCGTCGATCTTTGAGTCGATGATTGCGGCCTGACAAGTGCTAGCAGCCGATGGAGGATGGCATTGCGGTCCGTGTTCGTCAGATTCTTCCACGTATCCCGCGCATGACAGTTTGAAAGGGTTTGTCAGTGCATATCATCCGGATATATGGTATTCGTATTCGGATATCCGGATACGATGCAGAGCCCATGTTACATATAAGTATCGAGTTTTGCATGCATGATTGATTGATTGCTGGTTTGATTGGATGTTTTTTGGTGCGAAGATCTTCTATTGGTGATCCATGATTTCTCCTCTACAAATACATACCTTTTGAACATTATACTTCATCTATTTTCAAGTTCATCGACGATTTCTGCTGGTTGTAGCAAACATTTTCGGACGGAGGTAGTATTACTGAAGCAATTTCAACATCTCTTTCGAATAATATTTCTTTAGACTACACTTGAAATTGGTTACATTGATGTGATGAATAGCTAGGGTCACTGTCGCTTCTAAATTTGCGCGGAAGATGTGTCGATGGAAATCAGCACCCAAAATGTGTTAGTAGGTGCTAGTATCTACTAAAAATTCTGATTCGGCTTCATTGATTGGCTATAATTAAAGATAACACATCGTTTTATTGGATGACCAAGGTTCATGAATTCATCAAGCGACTTGCCCAAGGCAGGAATTTCTCCATCGATCGACACACATCGTTCTCCACCATCTAGTCCGCACAACACAGTACAGTATCTAATCCTTCATTAAAGCCCTTGTGTGTTATAAGTCTTATTTGAGTGAAGTGAACGCTTTAAAGGCAAAAGGAGCTCCAGTAGCTGACCGGCCCTGCCATTTTGTCAATATTTCATGCACGTTTTGCTTAAAATTGGAGTAAATCAGTTCAAATTGAAGATAAGATCGTGGTCCTGCCAAATTCCCAATATTTCATATTTATATTACAGTTTGTATGACTCTGGTACAATAGTTGCTTTCACTAAACGACAAGTACATATAGTATGGAAGGACTACATTGATTCAAAATCTATCGTTGTTGCTTCTACACCGACGAACACTACCGCCAAATTAACACGCATCCCACGAACGATCGATGTCATATCGTCCGTCCAGAAGTTTGTCTGTGAGAAGAGGCAACTTCGAGCTCGTGTTGTTGCTATCGATGTATTATCGCATTTGGCAAACAGTGGAGTCCTACTGGTCGACCGAAGGGACAAGCTGGCGTCCGAATCTGCATTGCGGAATGTCCGGCGGTTCCTTTTGCACTGTGGTTACAACCGTGGCAACAAGAAGGGGAAAAAGTCCCTGGCGTTGACTGAAAAGAACACCTTGCTGCGTGACCTATATGTCAGACGTATGTGCGCGGCCACACAACATATCGATCCACGCAACCGCAGAACAGTTGTCTACACAGACGAAAGCTTTGTTCATCATCACTACAACAAAAATGACATTTCCCTGCATGACCCTACCGACGAGTTGGATATTCAGCCAAAGGCCAAGCACAAAGGCAAGCGCTACTGCTTCATTGGAGCAATCGTTGATGGCGGTGAGGAAAATTCAATCTTCATTGCCTATGACAAGTTCGTTGGTGCCGGGCGCAAACAAACCAAGGAGTACCACGGCATGTTTAATCACGAGTATTACCTCATGTGGTTCAAGCGATTGCTAGATGAACTGGCAGCACGCAATCTACAAACCACAATTATTGTGATATACAACGCAGCTTACCACAAATGCCGTCCCGCTGACACGCCGGCAATCCGATCGCGGAAGGTCGAATTACAGATAGCTTGTGATCGCTTCGGCCTGGATTGGACACTATCGGACTTGAAATCGGTGCTGTGGGCCAAACAAAATCAAACCGTTTGTGGACGGGATCAAACCATGGCTGAAGCTGCCGGTCACGAAGTGTACTTCAGCCCTCCACATCATTCCAACTTGCAGCCTATCGGGGTTGTGTGGGCTATCATAAAAGGAAACGTCGGAAGACAGTACCAAGACGACACAACATTTCAGGATGTTGGCCAGCGGTTGGATGCAGCGTGCGCCAACTTGACGTCGCACTCTATCTTTGGTTGCATTCGAAAGGCCGAGTACGACCTGTTAGATCTACATAGACATGTGTCTATCATTGACGACGACAACTACCAAGAGGACAATGAAGTGGCAGGCGACGGATCGGACAGTACCGAGTCCAGTTCGGCTTCTCAAGACTCAGCGAACGATGCTGGATTTTAGGACTTTGAAATTGTATAATTGCATAAGTTTATAATTTGGTGCCAAAATTTGCTATTGTTTTACGCAGTTTGTTGCCTCTGACACGTACTCTCACACTTGATGAAACCGGATAAGTATCCGTTAAGTTCCCTCGGTGCTGTCGTGGACTGTAAGAGGGATTAAGAATTTCGGTGGCTAAATCTGATAACGTGAACATTACATTATTCAAGTCACACACCTGGGTGGAATTTACGTTTAACAGTAAAGTAAGGTAACGCATCGAATTCTCGGACTCATTTTGACGCAAATTTTCAATTCCATCCATCTCATACAAAAAGTAAGAAGAATTGAGAAACATAGATAACACGTCTGGAAAATATAATTCCCCTGCTTGCCCGTGTGCACCTTCCACGACGAGTACCTGGGGACCCTGCGAGCGTCCGGTTCGAACGTCGCCAGCAGTGCCTTTGTGTTCCCGAGCTTCACAATCCAGCAAGGTGGTGTCCCGCGTGTGGACTAGCATCGTGCCCTGGAACGGTCGACGATCAGGAAGCTGATCTGCGAGATCGTCAATGCAACACCGAACCTTCCCATCGGTATATCACTCCAGAGTCTCCGTTGAGGTGGAGCATTCTACCGTGTATTTGAGTCGAACGAGTGACGCATCAACTTCCGTGAGTTGATGGCTTGGTGCAGATGGGCCGACGCGAAGACGTGCTGCGAGTACCTGGTGACACAGAGTTTGAGCAACGAGATCAATCCTCGAAACCTGCTCCGCACAGGGGCTACCCTTCAACGTATGCAGTGGACAGGCACGGAGGTTGCTAGTAGTGCCAGTGGGTCGTTACCCTACTCCGTTGATGAGCTCGGCGAAGCGGTGGCCAAACGTCTACAGCAAGGCAGTGGTGGTAAGTTCGTTGTCGAACCAAAATCAACGAAGCAACTGTCCATGGATGGATTTGTTGCTCAAAAGACGATACCTACAGCTCGTTCGGGGCTTCAAGCGTGACAACAGTGGCTTGTAGCCGATCCTAGCGCTGGCTTGGTTTGCGCGCTCAAGGACTACAACAGCGACATGATTCGTCTTGATCGGAAGAAGTACTCCGAGCGTTTGACCTTGGCCTTTGCGCTTTCATTTTCAATTCATTGAAGCTGATTTGCGAGAGAACTAGCGTGAGTTGTGCTATTCTGAATAGTGGAACGAGTGCAACGTCGCGCAAGCTACAATTTGGTCTATCTTTGGTGCTTCGGGGCGCTCTTGTGATTGTTTTGTTGATTGTCCAGTGAACAGGCTGAAATTGTAACTTTACGAATGACTTTACCGCAACTTTACAGGGATTGACCAATCATATCCTTGTCGGATGAAAGTGTCGGATTTTCAAAGTTACCCATACATACCAGTAGCAAAAACTCGAAGTCACATACTACTCCGTTCCACAAAAACTGTCAGGTAGATTTTCACTTGATTAAAGTATGCACTGGGCAATTGAAACGACTTGCTTTTTGTATGCCACTCCAAAACACCATAACCCGCACCAAAAATTATATTGAATTTTTTTAATGTCTCATTCAAGAGACTTGACCATGGCATCGAGGTGAACTTCCTCACCAAATCGGCTATTCAAATCAGCCAAAGCTCTCTCGTAGGACGAGGCGTCAAACACGACATTATACGATGCAAAGTCTGCAATGAGAGCGTCCTTCTTCATGTGAGGAAGCTTATACTCGTTGCTGCCATGTATTTCAAAGGACAATTCCATAACTTTTTGAAGAGTTACGAAAGCCTTTGCAAGCGTGTCAGTCGGCAACTCATAGAACGCATTTTCTACAGCAACAATAAGCTCCTCGATGGTTCGAGTGCACTTTTGGTACTGTAGGCTTTGAATAGAATTAAAGAATCCTAAATCTAACACGTTGAAATCGGGGATGGCAGCTTCAATTTCGTCGCTTGTTCGGAGCGCATGGCGTCCAGAGTTCCCTTAAAAGTACAACCTCATATATCAATAATTGCATAAACTTATAAAAATATCTGCTTTGAGAGAATTACCCTTGGTTTTTGAGGCGACATCGGCTGCACAGTGGCCGCCGCAGAGCGAGAGACGCGCTTGCGTCCACAGACGTGACATCGTTCGCGGATGGCAGCGAAACATCTGTGCAAGCTCGGTGAGAGCCCCATGGGGCAGCACACCATCAACGGCGACGCTAAGCAGTGTTTCGAAGGCCGTGCGGCGATGGGCGAAGCTCAAGTTCTTGCGCACGTCCGCGAGGTCCCGGACGGCGACAGAAGCATCACCGGTTCGCCGTGGTGAACGAGGAGGCATGTAGTGGCGATATGTGTGTGCAGGAAGTGCTGCGTAGCCAATAAATTGTGTAATGAAGTTCTGGCGGGTCATTTTA